ATTACAATATTTATTACAATATTGCTGTTGGTAATTATATGAAGTGGGTGAGATTTCAAAGAGAAAAATTATGGCAAAAGACAGTCAACTTCTGAAATTCTTTACAATGGCCAATGCTGCTTTAAGTAACAGTCACACTGTCTCTTCAATGTGGTTACTGCACTGCATAGAGAGAGAAAGGACAGCAACACACACGGACCTCTTTAGGGAAAAAAGACCAATTTTATTGTACAGACAGCCCGTATTTAAAGTGTGTTACATGCAGCTAGGACAGGACAGTAGTTTATTGGACAATTGGGAAAAACATCCTTGGGACAGTACCTCAGGATATATCCCACGGGAAAGGCACCAAGTGTTAATCTTTATTATGAATTCCACTCTGTTTTTCACAATGTTATCACCCTGGGAGACTTCCTCCCTAACTGAAGCTGTAGTCAGATTGTCAGCCTGTCAGCCTGGGAATGGACCTGAGAGTCAGGAGAAATTCAGGCCTGAAAAGGAATTTCCAAGCTGTAATTCCCTAGCTCTCTAAATGTCTGTGTCCACACTTCAAGAAAGTGGTAAATGAAATTTCTGCACTATGAATACAGTCAGAGCCTGAAGCAACTCAAGAAGTCTGAATTCAGCAGAAATTAGGCTCTTGTGGGATCCTGTTAAATAAAGCCTGCATGCAACTGGAAAAGAAGTTCCTACTTTGTTTGAGACAATTTGGAGGAGTTGATCTGTCCCCTCCCTGGCAGTGTTCAAGGCAAGGTTGGATTGCTCTAGTGGAAGACAACCCTGCCAGTGGCAGAGGGGTTGAAGGTCCCTTCCAATCAAAACCATTCCGTGGTTCTATAATCTCACACAATACCCAAAACAATGTGGTAGTTACTTAGAGTAATTTTTAATCATTGTACTAGAATAAGAAATAAAATAAGAAATGCCTCAAAGAAAATTGTATTGTAGGGGGGCACACTGTATTTATTCAGTGAAAAGTGCCAACACATCATTGTGATTCACTTGCAGAGGGTGGTAGTGTGATAAAGTGCCGATTATGACATGACTAGGCCTCCTTGAATTGTTAAACATGTTCTCATTTAAATGAAGGCAGATATTTAGTCTCTTTCTATGTTTATTGCATTTCCAATAGTTGGTGTTTCATTTCACATAATCTATGTTTTAAGTAGGGAAAGACCAGGTATATTATAAGTTTGACCTGAAACTCATCCTGCTCTCTGTGGTTGTTCAAATAAAAATGTTCCTATCTCGGAAAGCTTATCGTCTTCTTGAACAAATCTTGGGTGTTTTTCACCATCTCTTTCTTTAAATCCTTCCAAGACCTTGCTGTTAAATACTGAGAATCCACTTTCCTGATGCTGTGAATATGGAAGGGAGAAGAGTGGCACTATAATCTGGTGGTGTCATTAGACCAAGCTAGCAATGACACCTTTGTTGATTGATAAGTGTCAAGTGATCTGTCATTGCATCATCACTAGCAAATGATAAGGGTCAGGGACTATTTTCTGCTGGAGTTCACCCTTCATGGGGCATTGTGTAGTGGTGAATCAGAACACTATCTACATCTCTGTGGAAATCTCCCTTCTTAAAATGACATTATTTGAACAGAACAAGCTGTGTTGTGATGCCATAATCTGTTTAGAGCCTCAGCTGCAGCAGAGTTGACAGTGTGAGTGTTCCTCTGTCTTGATGTCAAGACCCAATCTGACCTGTGGAGGAAGCCAGGCAGCAGAAGTTGCTTGGCTTTGTGGTCAATAAGCCATTGCTGAAGCATTCACCTGCAGTGTGAGCTGCCTGAATGAATGCCTCTGTCTGTCTGATCTATTGCATGTATTTGATGTCCCAAATGTCCCAAGTCACGTGAAAATATTTAAAATAATTAGAGTAGAAAATTCTCTGAGGGGTTTTTCTTAGTGTGTCCTTTCCCAGATACTTATCTACTTTGCATAGAATGGCTGAATACTTTTAAGAACAGATGAAGTAAATGAAAAATACATGATAATATAACAGTTACAACAGTCTCCAAAGCAGCTGGGCTTCAGCCCATGCTCTATTGATCTGTTAAATATTTTATGTGAAGTGAGACAATTTCAGAAGATATGATTGCTGTTTAGAAAAAAACAAAAAAAAAATGGAATATGCAGTACTTTCTGGCTCAAGTGACCTAAAGATGAGCTCTCTAGAACTAAAACAGAACAAGCTGAATTTGCTTCTCTCACATCGCTCGCAAACCCATTAGCACCAGGACTACTTGCCACAAAGATATGTGTTGTGCTGAAGCCTGTTAATCTTGATCTACTGCAGCCAGATGAAGTGGGCCAGCATGGTTACTTCTGTGGCCCCCCTTTGGATGTACACCATTGTCCCATAATATGACATTTCTCTCTCTTATTGTTCTATGTACATATTCACTAATATTAATGATATCTGCAACTGGGCCAGAGAAACCTTCCAGAAATAATTATTCTTGTGATTGCTTGTTTGGATTTGCATCTGTATGTTTCCTTAGGATAATAGCTTTTGGCAAGGACTCTCCAGCATTGCAGAGCACTCAAATATTGTGTCGGGTCTAGGACAAATTATACTAAATGTGCTTCTTAGGTACTGTGATCCCAGAGCATGTAAATCCAGTCAGACAGCTGATGGTACCTCTAAGACAGCCCACAGAAACAGTGATAGAAAACCTACCAGCAGCATCATTAGTAAGAATAACATTATACTGTCTGTCATGTGCAAGTCTAGAAACTTCATGGATGAGCTATAGGAATGGAAAATGTTCTTTGAGCACAAACGTGTTACTTGGAGGCAATAGACAATGGGGTAAATATTTGTTTTGTTAGCTTCTTTATGCAAAACCTAACTACAAATTATAATTAAACTCCTTTGGGGTACGAGTTCAATAACTCACTCCATCAGACTGCAACCTCAAAGTTAAATGTGTACATTATCAAGACTTCCATTTTTTGCTCTTCAGTGCAGGTCTGGGAACACTCTCCAAACTACTGCCTAAGTCACTCCTTTTCCTGTCAATTTTTCCATCACTGCTTCCCCCTTACTCCAGCAGCATTTCCAGAATCTCAGTTCATAATCTTCAGAGTCCAATCCTTCTTTCACCTCTGTGGCCAAAACATAGTGGAAAGAAAAAACATAGTGTGAAAATGTCTACGAAACAGCTTCCAGGTCAGGATAGAAAAGATTGAAATAATAAATTTTGATGAAATAACATTTTTCATTCTGAAAAAATCAAGAATTTCAGCACGGCAGAATGAAGACTTTAAGGTTTAGGCCTTTATGATTTGTTTGTGAGATTGGTTATTTGTTTATTTTCCTTCTGTTATTTCAGTGTTTAAAAAAAAAGACATTTCTGAACTCTGATTTAACCATAAGATAAATTTTCTTAATTTTTCTGAATGGGAGACAGTAAAAGTTTTCAAAAGAAAAAAGCAACTCAGATCACTTAAATTTTAAGGAATCACATTTTGAATTAAATTTTTATACGTTTACTTTTCTTAGAATAACAGACTCATTGAGGTTGGAAGGATCTCTGGAGGTCTATCCAAACTGTGGTCTCACCACTGCTAGAGAGGAAAACCTCAGACTTTCCCCTGTAGTCTTCAAATTCAATTCCCACTGAGATGACTGAAGAGCTGATTAAGCAAAAGCAGAGATTATCACTCTGGGAGTGTCAGCTTCTACTCTGTCATGCTTCTATCTGTGGTCCTGTGTACATGAATTATGTACCTATAAATAAATCAAATTATGAATAATAGCTGCCAAGCATTAGGTTGAGAGAGCATTTTTTATGTAAATGCCTTAGAAGCATATGTATAAGATAAAATATATTACCTAGAACTAATCTCTGGTAAAGCAACAATAATTGAAAACCAGTAATAAAATATTTTCTGCTCTTCGTCACAGCTGAATCAATACCATGTACAAACAGAGCAATACTGATAATAGGTTATTTCTACACAGTTTTCAAGAAGCCATGCAAGGGAGCCCCATAAATCTGATGTGCTTCCTGATTCTGTCTATGCCCTTTGCATGTTTGTAGCCCCACAGCCTCTCCCCCAGCCCTGGCCATCAGGTGCTGGCTCAGCACAGTGAGCTCACAGCACAGGGGGCCACTGAACACAGCCCCTGACTCCTGGCCACGACTTGTCAGTGTCATGAAGACAGGTGAGCTAAGTGAGGCTGGGGTGCTGCACAAAATATACTGTGGTATGAGGGTTTATTCTTCTAGTTCTACTCACCTTCACCCTAGAAGTGTACTCTGGACCTTGAAAAAGACAGTCACAAATTTTGTGAATAAGCTAATTTTTACACAAGCCCCTCCTGATCTTTATTGCTCTTTTTCTACTGGAATATGTTTTCCTGAAATTCTTTTATTATCCCTTACTTAGTATGATAAAATATAGAGCAGAATATCCCCACACTCATCTTCATGGACCATGCCACCACATCCTTTCCATCCTGTTTTTATGGTCAGGGAATATCCTGTGTCTGTGACCTTTAATAAATCTCCTGAGTTCCTTGATTTCTGGAACTGTGAGGGCTAAGAGTCAGAGGTCATGATCTACTTCTGAAAAAGCAGAAGGAAAGTTGAAGATTGGAGATTGGAGAGATACAGCCACTATCACCTCCTTCTTTGCTGATACAAGAGGTGGAGTGAGAGCAGAGGCTGGGACCTGCAGCTCTTGCTGGCCTGTGACATTCCCCTCTAGTCGTGTATTATTTGATATACCCTCCAAACCCTCCTTAGTCATCAACTGGAGAAAGGGCAATGCAGAGACTGTTTGAAAAAAGGGGATCAGGGCAGGGATGTGAAGTCTGGAATAGCTGAGTCTCATTATTTCAGGCACAGGCAAACGCACTCTTTCCTCTTGCAGAGCTTTGCCTCCATTGCCTTCCACTGCTATTTGTGTCAACACCATATAAATGATTTTAAAACTCTGGTCGCATCAAAGTTTGGCCATGGTGCTGGTGACACAGGACTTCTTGTCACTTTGCAGTTTTACTGAGTGCAGAGTCTTTGCTGCCCCACACCTGTGGGGGAGCAGCAAGACAGGAGCCAGGCAGGACCATTCACAGGGCAGAGACATCAACCTGTGTGCTCAGGAAACTAAAACCAATCCTCATTCTGCCCTGTGACCTGGCTGGATCTTGTGAGCCATGTACTGCTTCTCTTACATATTGTGAGACACTGAATATCTATGAGGTAAAGAGGAAATGTGCTGTACCAGCACGTACCTGTTTTGACAAGGCAGATCACGGCTTTCACAAAATAAAACTTATCTAAATTAAATTAAACTGCTTCATATGTAATTTTCTTAATAAATGTATCACTTTCTTAAGCAATAATAAATCACAAAATCATAGGATGTTAAGGCTTGGAAGGGACCTTAGAGATATCTAGTTCCAAATCCTCTGCCATGGGCAGGGACACCTCTCACTAGACCAGGCTGCTCAAGTCCTTATCCAGCCTGGATTTGAACATTGCCAGGGATGGGGCATTTACAGCCTCCCTGGGCAACCTCTTCCAGTGTCTCATCCTCACAGTAAAAAATTTCTTCCTGAAATCTAACCAAAATTTCTCTTCTTTCAGTTTGTACCCATTATTTATTTTCATTATGCATACATGGAAAATATGACCTGACATCCCATGTGAGTGTCTTTACCATTGAGTCCAAGTGCACATGCAAACAGACTTGAAACTGGGCCAGCAAACTCAGGTTTCTGCACATTTTTTTATGTTAACTTCTCCTTCATTTTTATTATAAAAATCCTAAAAATCAGGCTATTCTTGGGCTACTTTAAATTTGCTGTCATTCTCAAACTTAGGCAGTGAAATTGTTCTTTAGGGTAGCAGTTCAAGAGAATATCCAAATGGCATTTGTAGGCTTGCATCATCCTCACGTGAGAGACAGAGAATCTGACCCAGAGCTGGCATCTCCTCAGCCTGGGGATCTCATCACCATTGTCATGGGGCTGGGTCTGCCCTCTGTGTCCTGTCTCTCACTCCATCACATGGTGATGCCTCGAGCCTGTACTGTGTGTTCCTGTACCAGGCACCTCATTTCTACTACACAGGACCAAGAGAAGTCTCTCAGTTCAGGTTGTGCCCCTTCCACTCCTGGGCACATTTTTTGTTTAGTCTCTGTGCCTTACCTGCCTAAAATAAAAGGTGTGTGTTTAAGGTTTTATGTACTTTGTAAATGAGAGCAGGTATTCTGGTAATGGATCAGATCAAATAAAATAAGTCAATATTGTATCCAAAGCTTTATTATATTACTTTGAATGTAAAATATGACAAACCATCTTCTCCAGGCAAAGCATATTATTTTTGTCCTTCAATTGAATTGTTTTATGTAACCATATCCCTTGAGCATTCATAATCATTAATGAAATTATAATTTTAATGGTGAGTTCTAGGTAATAGATGCAAGGCAGAAGACGCTGTTGGATGTAATAGAATAATCCAGGTCCTGGCTGATGAATACCCAGAATTTAAAAATTGTGTCTGCACTACGGATGATATCTGTAGCATCACAACTTTGCTTGGGAAACGGTGCAGCATTAATGAAGGTAAATAAACATAAAGTTGTAATTATGAAGACCATACCCAGTAATTTTGTAACCACCATTTTAAGTGGATTCAACTTTCTTTGAATATTCTCAAGTCTGATAAATGCCCCCCAAAAAATTAGTTATATCTTTCTTATGATATTCATGCTCCAGCATGCATATGAAAGAAAAGCCACAAACAAAAGCAATTAAATGCATGTGAGAAATTCAAATGGGTTCTAAAACTCTTGTTGAATCCACTGGAAAGCAAGAGTGAATACACAATGTGTGCTGAGGGCTACTCATTGCCCTCATTTGAGAGCAATTGGATCTAGTTTGTGTATATGGAGAGACACATCCAGTACCTTCTGAATGGGAGGATGAGTGAATGGGGATGCACAGGGGTGCAGTTGTGTCACACTGTAGTGCAGGAGGAGTTTCACTACTTATAGGAGAGGCTACTGGATGTGTGAAACATAGTCACCACCTTCATAAAGCTGTTCATAATATATAGAGTGCATCTATTAAAAATTCTATTGTAATCAATGGGCCCAGTTCCCCTCAATTTATTTTTTATTTTTCTGAGAACTCTTACCCCTTCAGAAAGCCTATCTCTGTAATTGAGAATTACTTAGTACATGAATAAATTGCAGTTTCTGGTCCAAAGTCTCCTGGCATAACGATTAGCAAAGCTGACACAAGAGAGGTAAAATCATCCATTGCATGAGAATCTGCAAAGTGAATTTCAAACTGATTCCTGGCACTGATCCATCATACTCTACTGGCAGTGCACAGCATTCATCATAATCTAAGTACTTTCATCATCATCATCATCACCATCATCATCATCTAAGTACTAGATTATATGGCCTTATTGCAGAGGGAATAATAGCATCCTGATCTGGCCCAAATTCCCTGCCCCAAACAAGAAGGATGGATATCTGAAACCTGATGTTGATGTTGTTGGAGCAGTTGCTTATGCTTCTAGCAAAATGATGTAATGTTGTATTTTTTTGCCAACTGAGATTACATTTCTCACCACTATAGAAACAAATTTGGATGGACTTACAGTAGTGATGAGTTTACCTACAAAGGATAGCATGTGGTGTTGCTAGGCACTCCCTCTCTAACTTAAATTACTATTTTAGGTAATGAATCAACCATCTTCTGGAATTGTCATTCTCTCCTTAAAAATTATGCATTTGCTTAAGACGATAATCCATGATATGTCCAAATTGTAGGTAGTTAAAATTATGTGAAGTTAAACTCTTTATGCAGTAATTTTAGTGAGGATTTTTTGCTACTGTTTTGCAGCTGAACTGTTCGAGTGGACTGTACTATAATAGCTGACAGCACACAGTAAACATGAGGAAGATTCATTAGTTTGTAAGACTCTGAAATGATTATGTGTTTACGCACAGCTCAGAATTAAACTAGGGCTGTTCACTCGTTGCAATGCATTAAGACAAGTTTCTCCTTTTCCTGAGTTTCTGTGCCATTTGATTTATATCTCTGTTTGTACCTATCTCTGCAGACGATTTGGAGTCTTTCTCAAGGCCTGAGGCCGAGCTGAGTGTCGGGGAGCACAGAAGTCCTGCAGAGCCAAGGCACTGGGAGGAGCTGGGGCGCGACTGCGGCGCGGCGAGGCAGCGCTGCCGGCGGGAGCCCCGCTGCTCCGCCGCCTTCCGCAGCTTCCAGCGGGCGTGCCAGGCACCCGCACACACCTGCGGCCTCCCCGCGCCTCCAAAGTGTTTGCCAGCCTGGAAGGAGCTCAGGAAAACAGTCCTGGGAAAGTGCACGTGCTCAGAGCCGCTTCAGGCGAGGTGCATTAAAATCTGGAAGGGAATATTTAACAACCCTTGCTTACAGTACTCTCAGGAGAGCCTGGCCTCAGGAGCTGGTGGAAATGATGGCAGTGATGATGACTTTAATGCTGATGTTGATGCTGAGAAAAATCTGGACACTGACACAGGTTAGCAGTCTGAATGCTCTCGTACGTAACAGTAGTGTCCACATTCCATGAGAAAGCTTTTCTTTCCCATTTGCAATTCAACATTGAAAACAAGATCATTTTGGTAGGTTAATTTGTAAATAAATTCACAGTCTGATAGACTGCTATCATTATAGTCTGAGTAAAAATACTGTTGTCCTTCAATATGTTAATTTGATACAACCTGATCTAAATCAGTCGGTTTTAGTTTTTCACTATACCTAAAAACAGTATAAGACCAATAAAAATCATTTTCTAATACAAGAATTGTCTGCCAGCCTTGACTTCAGGTCATGACAAGCAGTTAGTTGAATTTGAAAACTGGTCCACGGATAAACACATTAAGGCCTCTGGCTCTAATTTATTCACAAGAAATCTGACTTTACGATGCACTGAGAAGCTCTAAAAAACTCTTCTTGAGATCATAGGATCTATAATTATGTAAAAAATGGTAGCAGCATTTGATAAACTGTGCTTTCACCCCAAAACTTATGAATATATGTAATAGTGGGTTTAGAATTTGTTAGTGGGTTCTATTTGGTCAAACTAATTTGTTTTAGTCTTGTTTATTTTTACTCCTGGCAGTATGCCAGTGAGACAGACAATACTTTAAAGTTAAAAAGCTATTATTTACAATTTATGCCTGTACCTATATCTTTTTCTTCTAGACAATATTAGTATGGAAACAAAATTACAATGGGGTTTATCTGCTCTCTCCAAACAAGGTAAGTCTGAATTTACTTATGAATCCTAATAAATAATTTTAGCTCCATTTTCAGGCAGTGTACAACGTACCTTCAGATTAAAAGTAATACTTTTCATTCAAATGGATGAGCAGGGAGTTATAGATCCAACATATTTTCAGTTAAGGTACTGGGTAGAGAAGAACACAGAAATGTAGCAGGTAGCAATCAAGTGATGTAAATGTAAATCAGGTAACAATCATGATTCTGTCAAATTTACAGAAGCAAATCTTTTCCCATAAGCACTTTGGGGTCTAGAATTTTCTAGGTATTTTTGGAAGGTTTATTTCACAGTCTAGAAATACCTAAACTGCTGTTAAAAGTACAAAAGTGTGATTTATATTCTCCATTACTTATTATGTAGCCTAGCATAAGGCTGTACACTGGAGGTTCCAGCAGTTCCAGGAGGTTTGCTTATGAGGGCCCAGCAGTGCAAGAAACAAGTAGGAAGTTACTCAATAGGCTTAAAAGAAGCAATGCTGCAAGAGCTGGATCAGAGTTTTAGGAATCAAGTTTCATTTACTGGGAATGTTGTAGACAAGATGTCTGCCAGTCACCACTTGAGAAAAACTTTATTGAGATTTTATTTTTAAAATTGCTATTCTTTTTAGTGTACACAACAAACAGGAGCTGTTTGGATGTGAACAGGGAGTGCGTTGAAGATGAAGTGTGTAACAAACAGTTGTCCCTGTACCTTAAAGTTTGCTCAGTAAATAAGTGCAATGTGGAAGGATGTCAAGCAGCCATAAGGTTCTTCTATGGAAACATGCCTTTTGAAGTTGCCCAAATGATGATATTTTGTGACTGTATCCAGCATGATGAATCCTGCCACAGAGCCAAAGAACTTCTCCATGGCAAGTCCTGTGCAGTTACTGTAGTTCCACCCCCATCGTGTCTGAATGTAATCCACATGTGTGAAGACAATGAATTGTGCAGGTGAGTAGAAGTATTTTGCCCACTAAGGTGCTTTTGAATAATGATTTGGTCAAACAATTTTTATTATACTTTATATATCTCAGCTATAACAAAATTATTTTCTGCACTGTATCTGAGGTGTTTGGCATCTTTCTAGATGTTTGTGTCAACTCTGGTAATTCCAGAAGTAATCCCACAAGTAAACTGAAATGATTGATTTTCAGAAAGGTTTGGAATCTAATGTGGGCTTTTCTTCTGCCTGTATCATGACACTTAACACCATTTCTGCTGGACAAACTATGCTATTGCAATTTTCATTACCTCTTTCTTCAGATAACACCTGCCTGTCTGCACCTTTGCCCTCCAGCAATTTGCCCAAGTTGTGCAGCAGACCAGACAAAGTTTATTTGGTAAAAGTAATTACCTTTCGAGGACAGAGTCTGACCCTTTGTACCCAACAGCCACGCAACCAACTTGGCCAGTTCAAAAAACTTATGTCTTAATCTCAAGGGTGCTTGCAAAAAGCTTTCTAAAGTCTGGCCTGAAACATGCATGGATCACCAAACTCATGAAGGATAATGCCTTTTCAAAGTTTCATTTTATATTTTTAAAACGTGCAACAGTATTACCCATATTTGTAGTTCAACTTAATTGCCCCCTTTTATGGATGATCAATTGGCCCACTTTGTTTTTCAGTGTAGTCGCCTCGTGAATTAAAGTTTAATTTTACCTCAAAGTTGTGCTTAAATTAACCTTCAGTCAATAAACCAGGAGGCCAAGAGATAGTTTTGGTTTTGTGCAGATCATTCACATTGATATCAGTGAGAGCAGCCAAAGGGCTGTAAATGTACATCTGTACATATAGACATGTAATGTCATAATGACTGAATTCCCCATCATTTTGGGAACATTAATGTTTCCTGGCACTGACAATAAATGCATATAATTAGCAAAATTAGTCTGTGAATTACGGCTAGTCACATCCATAAATCAGGAGATGAATGAAAATAATTCCATTAGAACAGAGGTGGCATCTGCTTTAAAACTTTACTTGTGTAATGAAAATACTTACAAAATTTTTCTAGCCAGTATTGCAACAGTCCCTGCCTTTCCATGTGACATGCTTGTGACTACTACACAATATCAAGAGCAAATTAATAACATATTTATATAATTAAGGAAGAATATTTTAATAATTTAATGTACTATATACTAGACTTTACCTTTATTATCCCCTAAAATTTAATGTGAGAGATTTGTTTTTAATTAATATCTACATTTTTTTGGTTAATTTACAATGTGTATTTTCTATTGTCACATACAGTGCTTTAAAGGCCAATTTTATTCCATCCTAACAGCAAATGAATGGAAATAATTTGAGGATATTGAACTGGGTAGCGAGTTAATTCTTCATGTAATTTATCTCTGCTATCAATTTATCTTTAAGTTCACTGAATTACTTGCACTTTTTCCTGAGACTTGGACATTTTGTATTTTGTTAGCATTTGGGAAGCAAAGGGATGTACACATTGAATGTAGATTATTTAATGCAAAATAAGTTTGAATGTTTATTCTTCCTTCACACTGCTCAAAAACTGGTCCAGTAGAACAGCACCTGGTATGGTTTCATTGTGATGACTGGTCTAATTCCGGTATTCGTATTTCTTCTCTGAGTATCTGAGACTGTTGGAATTCACACTGTTTTTTACTGGACTCTAGGAAACAGGTGCTGATTGGAAGTACAGTTGCTTTTTCTCAAAATCAGAGCAGTATTTATGTCAGCTATCACAGAATGTTGCGATTTTTAAGGCTTAAGTAGTACCTTGGAAATACACTTTCTTTTAATGATGTTCATTAAATGTCTTTTTATGAAATCGTAGTTGTTAAAGTGTCATTGTACACTTCTTTTGCTTTTTTAAATTTTTTTCCCTACCAGGAAAAAATACACAACTTTTCGATCAAAGTGTTGGAGACATGTCACAAAAAAATGCTATAGTGATGAAGCTTGTCTTGAAACTTTAATCAAGGATGACATGCCCTGTTCTGCCAACTCTGATTGCAAAGCAGCCTATGTCAACAGCTGGGGAACCATGCTGCATATGGAGTGCACCTGCCAAAATTTGCCTCCCGTGGAGCAGCCTTTGTGTGAGCTCTTCCATCACATGCTGCACAGCAAATCCTGCTTCAGTGACTTACGTGGGTAACACTTACAAATTTACAGAATAATTAGTTCTAAAGAGAATTAAGATGCTAATTTAGATCAAATATTTACTATATCTTTGCTACCATTGGTTTCAGCAAGATCTATAGCTGTGGGTTTTAATGACTCCATATCAAAACAAAAAAAAGGACATAAGTTTTCTTCCTCTGGTTTGGAGAAAAATTATAATAGTAGTAAATCAATGAAGTTGACTACATATCCCATTATTTGAATTTTCTGAAATAAATTCTAGAGTCCATATTAATATGCAGATTAGAAAAGTCTAAAGTCTTCCTGTTCTTTACTTAACATTGCACTTTGGTGCACTGTTTTTACAAACAATATGAAGTAACATTTGTTTTTGCTTTCTTTTCTTCTTGGAGTCTGAATATTAGTAAACTTTACACATATTTAGCAACAGAATTAATTCTGCAGGAACTAGCCTCAATCGTTTAAAGTAGGCTTTAGTATTTGGTCTTCAGTAAAAACACTGGGTGTAATTAAGATGAAATATAGGTACTTTCTCAGAATCAGTAAAGGCTTTCATGTGCTTAATTAGCTAATTATTTTTGTTAAATATACATGTCTTTGCCAAGCCTTTTGTTAAGAGTATTGCTAATGCAATAAACGGCAATACAGGAACAAATATTAATGTTTTAGTCTGAATCTGCAAAGTGCCTTCAAAGCAAAGCTCCTCTTTGTCCCCACTTTCTGTGTCATGGGTCACATCACAGGTTCTCTGTCACAGGGTGGTTCCTGGTCTCCTGCAGCATAAACTGAACCTGAAGGTTCATCTGCAGCCTCTGCAGTGCTCCAGCTGCATGCAGACATCTGGTCCATCAACCAGATCAAAGACCAAAGTATTCTCTTCTCCTCAAATCTCTGACTTATCACACCAGCTATTTTGCAATATAAATTCTCCTAGGATATTTTACTTGCTGGTGCATCATGCCCTATGCCAGCTATATTCCACATGTATACTCTAAAATTACATATAAACTAACTTGGAAGAGATAATGATACCTAAATATTTCAATGAAAAGAGATAGTTCTCTCATAGTTTTATCTGATGGACAGTATTTTGAAAGCATATATGGATTGTGTGCATGCATTTCATTGAATGATGTAGCTACTCTTTCAGTTCTAGAAACTAAAACAGTACCACTGATAAGGGTGTAGTTTCTTTCGTGTCACTCAAAAATTAAAATCAAGTTGCTGAAACCTTGCTCTTAGTTCAGTTAATCATTACTCCAATCCAGACTCTGAGAAAATATTAAAAATCTTATCCCCTGAAAAAGTGATAGCGTAACACACTTAGACTTGAGACCTCTAGCAGTGCTGATGAATATTATTTACTTGCTTGATTTAGGGCTGAATTTAATCGTCCAAATGAGTGAACACATCATCATGTTAGTTATTTCTTAACCTACAAAGCAAAAATATGATCCTCATGCCTGAATAATCAAATAATTGCTGACAAGCTTTTACCATTCCCTGAAGCAAACTCAGGATAAAATGGTTTGGGGATTTTTGTGATTAAAAACTTCCCTAACCTAATTGGGACTGAAAAACAGAAGCTTATGTTTCTTGTCTTGTGCAACAATTTCCTGGTGGTTAAAGAGAAAGAATTTGGAGATCCAGAGCCTTTGATGGATCAGTACCAACTCTACAGAACACTTGCAGTTTATAGTTATTCTTGCTTTTTTTTTTTTTTCTAGATGTCTGATTGTAATGCAGCTAAACTGATGATGGTCATGGTTATGGGTTTTATTATAAAGCATGTTTTTAATGCCATTCTATGCGTGGCAGTAAGAGATGTGGAGTGACAACTCAGCTGCAGTGCCCACCCAACCCTATCTGCTGATTTATTCCTTGGGCCTGGTGATGATCTTTGGCTGACTTTCACTCTTACAATGACAATGATCTTAAACTGAAACATTTCTGAATAGGCAAACACCCAGGGTTTGGAAAGGGGATTTTTTTCCTCTAGAACTGGTGTGAACAGACCCACAAGTGGTGTTTACACCATCCCACGTTCCTACTCTTGCATGGCACTGCCTTTGCTACAAGTGTTTGCCCTCGAGGCTGTGCTCACAGGATTGCATTTGCTGCAGACTCAGTAAAGGGCAAGAATTGTGACTGGCTGCTGCTGTATGAAGCAGAAGCACAGTGTGGATCATTGCCAATGAAGGATCAGTGTCTCAACAGGAATAAGCAAAAATGCCAGTGAGGGAAAGAAACAAATATAACTTTCCAAAATATTTTATCTCTGGGTTGTACTTTTGGATCTCACAGGAAAAACCCAAAGGACAGGTAGATTTAGTCCATTGTTATTTGTACAATGTTGCAGATTGCAAATGTGAGCCTTTCTTATATTACAAAAATTTCTCAGCTTGCTATTCATGTAGGTGACCAGATGTATGCTTGTATGACTTAGCCTCCTACTCTGTAAACAATACTACATAAGTAAACCTCCTATTTTTCATTTTAACAGAAGATATTCATTTTCAGATATATTCCTGAAATTATGCCCACTGAGAGGACAGGCCTTTGTGAAAAAATTTGTTGAAGTCTAGAAACACACCTGGAGAATAAACTGTGCCTTGTGGAAATTACTTCAGACTGTTACCACTTTCTCACCACTTTTCTTTGGTTTGGTGGACCCAAATTTTTTGGTGGGCCTATTTTTAAAACAGTTTATGTGAAAAGTGAATTTAAGCTCTTTTGTGGCAGAGAATATTTTCAAAGTGTGCTTGTCATCCATAAGAAAAACTGAGGTGTAACAGAAAGAACTGTTATGCACTCATTCAATTTGTTCATCAGGTGTCAGTAAACAGTATTTTTAAATAGCTCCCTTTATAAATACTGCAGCTGTTAGCAAAATATCAAACAGTATTCACTTATATTATTATTTTAAAGTAATATTTTGAATGGATATTTTCTTTCCAATATCCAGGTCAAATTTCTATTCAGAAGAAAGGTTTTCACTGGGTAAATACAGAAATGCCAGGGGAAAAGATTTCTGGAGCACAGCTCCATTCTTCTGCAATTAATGGTGAGTTTGGACAAGTCACTCCATGATTTTCAAAGTACTGCTCTTGAGATATCCCTCATGTATGATAGAAAAGACCAAAGGTTGGTCCCTTGGGTGGGTCCAGGAAGGTGAGCTTGACCTGATGCTCCTTCATTTAGTCTGGAAATCTCCATACCTGTTTGGCTTAGCTTATATATCCATAAAATAAAGTTAATCAGACTGAACCAATTACTCTGATAAATGGTTTTGAAATAGATGTCTCACAATCAATGTATGATAATTGGGGAAAATTAAGTTATTGTGCTTACCAGAGCCTGACTCTCTGTACAGTCATTAGAGAGTAGTAGTCATAATGTGTAATACAAATTATTATCTTTGATGTCACACCTACTTCTGTCTCTCTTGACTTTCTGTAGTAGTTACCACAACAAAATTAGAAGGCACAGTAAGTGGTCTGAGAAGGGGCTTGTGTTACACCCCATCAGACTCTGCCTTCATACACAGCAGCAGGACATGCAGTATCCCATGAGCAGAAGAGCTACAGCTGCTTTTATTTCCATGCATCTACAGTAAGAAATTAAAGAACATAAAGTTAAAGGATATTGAATTAATATACAAATGTTTTCATTGCTGAAATAATATTTTTTATATTTCCTTTTGAGGGGGTCAAATTACAGAGTTAGAACACTAAAGAGCTTAATGCACAAATATCACCTCTAATGAGAATGACCTGTTCTACCTTGTGCAGGGCAGATTACAATTCTCCATACAATACTACAAATTAGTTCCCAGAACTGATCATACAGAACATTTTTAGCTGTGAAAAAAATAATTCAATCTCTGCATGCAGTAGAAAATGAAGTGGCTTCTAACCTCTCTATCCTTCAACTATTGCTGAAGTGGGCAACCTGGATAAGGGATAAAAAGGATATAAAAATTGATTAAGAGAATGGGATTCCTGAGACCTGTATGTGCATAATTAAGCATTTGGCATTAGCATTAAAGTTATTTGAGAGTCATGTATGTCATCCAAGTGGTCTGTGTAGCCAGAGAAGAAAGTCAGGGACCCTCAAAGAAAGGAAGAACAGTCCAATCTTTTTGGACTGCATTTGCTCAAAGTATTGACTCCTCCTTGCCAATTAGAGAGGGAGCCTGAATCCCTAGCTGGAACAAGACTCTAGTGGTTAAATAATGCAAGTCATAATACAAGAAATACTGCACTAAGTGAGAAAATGCAAAATGTGAGATATTGCACCCCTGTGACTAGTTCTAGCTGCAGACCTTTTCAGTGGGTAAAATGCACTTTACATTTCACTCAGAAATTCAGATATTTGCAAGAAGCAGCCTACACCCATTTAATTCTGTTCGCACTGGAGTCTGAATACTTTCCAAAAACCATTCCTTGAAGTCTTAACAGAACTTTGGATGGCTTTAGAAAAATAAAAAGAATGCTGACCAGCCTAAATCATACAATGAAATATGCTTTCTATTGTAGCTGTCATGTACACGAGATGGGAACTCTAAGCCATAAAAGTCTCATAGGAAGCCAGGTCAAGAAGAAGGATTTGATTCAGGATATCTGCCTGATGGTAAAAACCATACTGCAAATTGTTTCATAAATCTCACTGCTAAAAATCAAACTCAGTGCCCTAGATCCATATGCTAATAAATGTCCATTACTCAGGCTGCAAAGGGAGTTATCATCTTCACAAAATATTTATCTTTAATGAAATCAAATCCCAAGAAGAATTCAGGGCACAGAAGCAAAACAGTTAAGTTGTCAAATATGGCCTTTCACATGTGTGAAGAGTCTTGAAGACATTTGCTTCTTGGCTATTTTCTACTTGAAAAACACGAGATTAAATCTGATGTGTCTACATTAAAATCTCAGAAGAATCCTTAGTTTGTCATTGAAAGATACAAGGAACTCTTTCACCAGATGAAATGAATGGCCATCTACAGATGAACCTGCTCAGAAGAAAATCAGTGTGTCTTCAATTTTTTCTTAGTTTTATACTTGAAAATGTAGTTTACTGTTCAAAAAAAAACCAGTTAGATTTCTCTATTTTATTCAGCAGCATTGCAAATCATCCTGTTGGATAAGATTGCTTTAATAGGAGTCATTCACAATAAATAATAAATCTTAGCATATATACATATATTCAAATATATTTCTAAATAAATAGAACCATGGAAGTTGAAAAATTATTATTCCAGCTTTTGGTCTAAAAGTGGGATACCAGGATCATAGAAAGATCTTGACTGGATTTAAACATATTCACATTCCCAGGAGGGAACAGGCCAACAGGGCCATCTTTGGGCTGATACAGCTCTGTTAACAAGATGTAATGTGGGCAGAGTTCAGAACTACATAAAAGTTAATGAGACTTTTCCTGTAAGCTTGAATTTGATCTCATTTTGGAAACAATATCAAAAAGTGATAAATCAAATAGCATTTCTCCAAACTTCTAATATGCCTACCCAATTATGCATTTTCAGCCTGGTTTTGGCTTTATCCTATGCAAATTATATCAATGACTTTACAGATCCAAATAATTTAAAAGATTGCTTCCTGTATTTTAGTTTGAAAAATGATTAATGTGAGAAGATAAGGATTTACTTTCCTCACCATGGAGCTTTGAGGATAAGTTGTGGGGTTTTTTTATGGAAATGGAAGCTAGAAATACAGAACACTTACCCTGTTCTTGTGAGATACAATAAAATTTGGTTTGATCCAAAACTGTTGAAATTTTGTCTTAAATTGTAGTGTTATCATATATTTCCTAAGGAGGAGTTTTGGTGTGCTAAGTATTTAGATAAACAAGTAATTGGCAGGGCTTATCTCTAAGTATACCAGCTGCTGTGGGAACTGAGATTAGTTCAGCTCCATTGACTTTAATTTGTAAGGTATCAAACACTGTCAGTCTGACAGTTTTATAAATGTAAAAAAACGTCCATGACAAACTGCAAGTAGCCAAGAAACCTCTGAGCAGAGGCTGGGATTAATCTGTTTGATGAATATGCACTAGCAGTACGTAAGCAGGTAGATCTACAATAGAGTAAGATTCACCAAAACCCTTCTTTGTTCCTTATAGAACTGAATCAACATCTCTTTTACCAGCAATTCATCAAAAACGTAGCAATTTTTTCAGATTTTGTCAAAAAATATTTCAGTTGGTCATTTCAGTGTTTTGTTTAATTGAAATGAAGCACCTTTTACTCTTTTGCTAAAACCCATCATCTTAAAGAAATGTTGTAATTTGAGAGCTAGGCCAACTGCTGGTGTAGTTTTTAATATACATTATTAGCAGTCCTTCTCTAAGATTGACCTCACCCCTCTTTCTTCAAAAATTGGCCATATTAAGTATCTTCCAGTGGGTTACTGGATTAAATGGAATGCTCATTCCATTTGTGCAAAGTGTGGTGGTTTGACCAGTGCTTTCGTTTTCTTATATTGGAAAACTTGAAATTGGGATAGTTTTTTGAGAGAAAGTGGGCACAATGAAAGCCAGGCAGGTCCAATGCCCTGCTCAGCTCCTTGTTTGCCTTGCTGTGGAATACATATTCACTCTCACTTCCCGAGGCTGCTCCAGCTTCCATACCAGCTGTGCTTGTATTATATGATGCACTACACCCGCCGCATGTACGCGTTGTACACAGAAATGTCTCATTCGGGCTTGTGTGTGCATATACATAACACGTGCAACATATAATAACTGGCAACTTATTCAGAGACCAGAATATGGCCTTCTCACAGCCCAGAGCAGTGGCTCAGTGATGAGTCCAAGAATCCATCTTCCTTAGTGGATTTTTCACTGGCTCTGTAAACGGAGAGGCTCGGGAGCAGCTGGGGGCCCCTGCATTTCAATTCCTATATAAACAAAACTTACCTGATTGTACAAAGATGACAAAATCAGTGCAACACGAAAATCACAGAAAATTCTTGTAATTTTTGCTTATGGCTCTGCACTTGTGGCCACTTGTCAAGTCATCTAACCTCTACACCTCTCCATCCTTTGTCCAGGGCTTATACTACACTCTCAGGTGAAATGTTTCCTTCAGATATTTGATCAAGACCGATGGATTCATTACTTCAGGAAAAAAAAGAGTTACTCCTCCTTTGAAAAATGAAATTTGAAACAGCTCCCAGTTTTTCAGCAGTTGGAATTTTTAGCACATAAGCTACCTAAGTCACTTTTTGGTGAGAAGCCTAACAGAAAAAGGAAACTCCATGGGAATGGGGCCCAGAAAAACAGTGTTAGGTCCCATTTTACATTAATTTGATTCTAGGTGGAGTATTGCTCCACACTGTAATTACAGTAATATGTGAAAAAGGAAAATAAGTCTAGTTGATAATTAAGAGCCAAATCTGCTTTGATACACAGAGTAAAATAAACATTTTAAAATCAATAGGGAGAATACTCCAAAGCAAAACTCATAGTTACAAGCTGTTCCCCTGCAGCAGTGAAAGGTACTGCTGTACTTATGAAGTGCTATTGTAGCAAGTATTTACTAAAAGAAGTCTGAAAATTACGTTGCCTCAAATAGGAAAGGAAGAATTATTCCTACCACTGACATACACCTTTTTCCTCCTTCTAATTACTTTTGACAAAATTGATAGCTAATTAACTCATATATATATATGATTTCTAATACAGATCTCAAATCTGATTCTTATTACTAAAAAAGCAAATGTTTCATTTCTGATTTTTGTTTTTATTTTTAGGTGAAAATGTCTACATTATTGCTTACTCCTCCTGCATAGCTCTCATCCTAGGAATAGTGCTGTTGACTCTCCTAAAGATCAGGTAACTTGATAGGGATATTAATCACTGCTTCTAGGAAATTGAAAAAAAACCAGAAAATAAAATGTTTTTACTTAGTTAAAAGATGGACATAGTGATTGTCTTTAAAAACAGTCTAGCATGCCCCAGTGATGGAAAAAACTGACATTGTGGGTGTCAGCAGGGAAGAGTGAAATACGATATGGATCTACAATGCCCTCCATTCATCCAGAGATCCCAGGCTTTGGGAGGTTTCGTTTCCTGTCCCATGGCAGGGGAAGGTGAAATCTGAATTCAGAAATTCTGTGAGACTAAGTTCCTAGCTGCATAGCAGGCAGGGGTAATGTGAAAAGGAAATGAGAATATTCAGCATTATAACATATTTAGAAACCAAATTGTGAATGCTACTATTGTAGTTAATATTCTTGCCAAATGCTATTTTTGCTCACAGAAGTCTGTAAACAACACCCACCATCCCTGCCATCCTTTCCCTTTCCCCCCTCTCTCCCTCCTTCCCTCTGTATGAGAAACTGCCCAAACACCAATGCTTGGTAAGAAAACAGAAATGTGCATTCACTTAGCTAAATGAACATGGCCTTTTCTTAAATGATACATTTTCTTGGACCAAATTAAATGGCCAGATTTCAAGAATTACACTGTCAGATGATAGTTAACAGAACATGATGTAGCAGGAGCTATATATAGTGGGAGGGATACTGAGTCAAATTTCATTATTAAATTCCAAGGCAGATCAAAGAGGAATTGTAGAAAAATGCAAAAGGCAAGTCAAGGATATATGGGAACAGAGGCTTTCTCTTTAGGTTTGCATTTGTAGGAATATCAGCATATAAAGAAAATTCAGATTTAAAGAATATAGAAAATGGAAGAAAGAACAATGCATTAATAACAATGAAGGGGATTATTTTATACCACACTATTCATCATAAAAAGAGGGGAATTTTGCCACTGATTTCAATTAAGCCTAAGTTCAAACCAAAAGCTGTACAGTTTATTGTTGAATACATGCACATTCTTTGTTTTCAGAGCCTGCAGAACAAAATATGAGTCAAGAAGTCCCTCGCCAGACCATTCTTCTGAAACATTTATGGCCCATTATAAAAGTCACAGATGAACTACTCTGTTGCTTATGCTTTTTAAGGCTATTCCTGAAAGCCAGCCTGTTGTACATATGTGATAATAAAATATATATTAGAAAAACTACTATAAATTATGGAATTTTATAGTTAAGCATACAACATATTTTTTTATATTTATTACCTTATTTTAAGCCTTTCAAAATCTGAAAAAGGGGTAAAAAAATGGTAAAACTGTGGTCTCTCTTATTTATGTAGATTCACAGATCTGTCCTGAGCTGTATATTTCCTACATTTTTAGATGCACATGACACTGGTATACATGCTGTATCAACAATGGCAGTTTTTGAAGCCCATCCTTTCTGATCTCAACTCATCTGGAAGAAATTAAAAAAAAACAAAAACCACTCAGAAGCATTTTAGAGACTTGATAAAGAGCACATATGTGACAGTGTTGTACACCAGGCTCCCAGGTACCAAGTACCCAAAGCAGCAGTCATAGCTATGCTGCCTGTAGTTTGATTGTGGAGCACTTGCAGGGTAGGAGGAGATCAGGATTACAACCCCTTTCAGAACTAAAATTACTCTCTGGAATAATGCTTTGACTCCAAAATGTTGCTGAAATTGTTTTTAATTACTCCTCCAATATGCTTCTAAAAGAAATGAATGAAGTTTGCCACTTTGAATAAAACAACCTTAGAAAGCTTTTTTTGGTCTGAATGCCCAATGTAGAAAGTCACTTGCCTGGGGCTGAAGTGCCTGCTTCCCAAGAGAGAAGCTACGACCCCTCTCATCATCTGTGTTTCCTATTCATTGTCTCTAGGCAAGACCCGAAGTGCCTAATTGTCCCCTTGCACTGTACTGGGAGTCATGGTCCCTAAACACCATTCTGGATCCCACTTTGTGGCTATGAGCTCTGGATTTCTCTCTATAGCTGAGTTGTTTTGCTAGATTTAAGCTTCTATTTACTACCAGTGAGTTGTCTTTGTTAAATCTTTGTAATAATCTGGTTCTGGTGAGCACAGAATAATGGACTGCTGTTTCTTTTTCAACTGTTACCTAAACAGCACATGTATTGTCTTGTTATAATAGCATCTGATTAATTAAGTATATTTTGAATGTGCTTAGTTTTAATTTTGTTTGAATTATCACTATATGTAACTCACCTTCAGTTTTGACCATGAGGTGACTGATCTAGGGCCACATCTAGTGCTAGATGACAGATCTAGGACTAGAAATTAATGTGATCAGAAAAGCAAGAATCTCTACTCTTCAATGTGACTTACTTCTGGCTTTGGTAGCTTGCAAAATTATTACTGTAGAGCAAAATCTGAAGTGTGTCATTCTGTTGGGGGAAGGCTTAGAAATCTTAAACAATTATTACAACATAGGTTTTCTCAGTTATCTGCATAAACCAAAAATGTCCTTTTTGTTTTGCAATCAACTGTTCTGTCATTACTAAATCAGCATTTGGACAAAAATACAGAAACAGAAAAGTGAAGTTAGTTTGTTAATCAAAAAGATCTCCTTTAGTGGAACAGCAATTTGCAGCATCTGGCTTAACTCTCACCAAAGTAGTATATTCACATTCTTCATTTTAAAACTGTGAAGTGGGAAGACTTCAAACTGAAAATACTGTTAAGAGTATGTTGGATAAAAGCATTTCATTATACAGGAAATGTGCTTCTTACATGAAACCTGTGCTGGTTTTCAGTCTGACTTAAAAAAACAGTGAGCCCTCCATGTCACAAAATTTGAGGAGATCCATTTAAATTCAGATTTAACTAAACTTCACTGAACAACAACAAAAAAATTACCTTCTGTCTTAGAAAATTTTTGTTTTCTAATTATCTTATATTTAGACACTAGGAACCCAACTCATAAATGTGCTTAGACACACGCACACTCAAAAACAAGTATGTAAAATGTATTTGAAACTGAGGGTGTTACTCTGAGAGACAACAAGATATTTAGTGGCTATTGTGTTGTTCTGCAAGTTTACAGGCTCTCTCTTCAGAGATGACTTAAATGCTTAATGGGAAAAGTACATTCCCTCCACTCTATGTGTAAAAAGTAGTCTGTCAATTGTGTCTAGATGGTAGTGATTAAATAAAGGAATTTCTGCTGGGATGATCTGTATTCCTGTGATGCTGATTATACTCTAACTGCTTCACAGTTTTTGGAACAGAGAATCATAGAATCAGTTTGGAAAAGACCTTTAAGATCTTTGAGTCCGATCATGATGGAAGAAAAAGCAGTATTTCATAAGAGCTTCATTATTAAAATATTTTCCCCTGAAGTATAACAACTGCATCCATACCCAGATGAGGAACATTAAGTCTCCTTGATGACAGGATTCCCAGGACACACATCATTTTGGGTAAGGATGTAGCATTCATCCTCTTCCCACTGGAGCTGGGACATCCCAAAGTGAAGAAATGAAGACTGACTGGGCTAGAGGGAGAAAGCACGAATTTTTGCCTTACAGCACTCTCACCTGAAAGGGAGAATGCTGAGTTCCAGTATTTCTTTGAAGATTGTTTATGCTTTTTATTGAACAATTGCTTCAAATTAGATATGTGATGATTTTTTGAGACAAGTACACAGAACTAGCTTTTCCTTATATGCAGTGTGAAGCTACAAGACTAAAGCCCAAGTTTCTACTTCCATCATGCCACAGTGAGTCTTGAATTCTTCAAAAGGAACATTTTTTCCTTGCTGTCTCACCTGCTTTTGTGGGTCAAAAGAACAAGCTACTTGGATAGGCATAGGCCCAGCCTTTTCAGGCTGTTGTGGGAATCATATCCCGGTCCTCTGAGCTAGATATTAGACCAAGCTAGGAACACAAAAAATGGATGGAAGCAGTACCAACACCAGAAGATGGTGCCATAAAACAGAAATCACCATTCAGTTCTTTTAAAAAATGACTGTGACTGTCTCTCCACCTAGGGAAACACTAACCCTTATGTTCAAGCTAGTGAAGATAACTAACTGCGGCTCATGTTGAGGAACTTCAAGAGTAGCATGGGGTAGGGAATTTTGCTGTTGGCTTTGCCAAGGAAGTTCCCTCATCAGCATTTTGATGTTTCAGACCACATGCTGAAGTCATTCAGTGTCCCATGAAGTGTGTAGGGAATCTTAGACATCACTTAGACGGCACAGATTTCTATCCTGCATTGGAACATCTGAAGTTAGATAATGCCTCATTGAATTTTTTCAACTCCTACCTCCATTCCTGCCTGTAGCTTTTAATGTTTAGTTAATGGAGGAAAGAAATGTTTCCCCAGTAACTTAAAAGAGATTTGTCTGCTATAAAAACACACAGGAACACCAGATTAAAAGGTAATCCTAAGAAAAAACACTCAAAATGGATTACAAGGTAACAAAGTCAACACAGACACACACGTCAGTGACAGCTTATATTTGCTAATGCTGTACGCATGAACTGGTTAGTCAGAGCTGCTTAATCTGGCATAATACATGAGCATATCAGTTTCAATAAACAGTGAGACAGATTTTATTTCAGCTTTAACACCACATATTGCAAAATCACAAATGCATTCAACCAGGCAGATACATGACAATTCCTTGACAAACATATCATCTCTTCAACGTTGGTTTCAAAGGACTAAGTTGACTTTGGCTGTAGTCCTTCTGCCTGCTGTGTTATTGCAGCAATGAAGATCAACACTGCATTACAGCAGGACTGTTGAGAAAAATAATCTTCAAAAGTACAATATAACAAAAGAAAAGCACTGATCTGCAAGTCAAGAACTGGAATTCATTTACTTCTTTCCACTGTTATACCTGTTTAGCTACTTTTTTAGATACTTCACAATCAATGAAGAGAACTTAAGGCAGTGTCAGAAATCACAGAAAAATTCAGTGGCAGAAAGTACCAATTTTCTGATATCACAGTAACTAAACAATATTTCTATCCCTTAAACTCATTGAAAAAATAGGCAGATTTTATACATTCACACTAAATCTTTGGATAAGTATTTCATTTCAACAGCACTGATCCCAAACATAAGAATTTTACCTCACAGACTTGTAGTCTTCATTCTATGACTCCTTAATACAATAATAAAAGTTTTATGAACTCAAATGACACTATTAAGAGAGGAAAATTAGCCAAAGCCTCTCTGGACTTATTCACAACACTAGAATATTTAGTTCTTATTTCATAAGCTCTGGTAATACATGAAAATGAACCATTAAAGTGCTGGTCCAGAGCCAAGTTGCCCTAGTACATAAAAGTTTAAACTACAAAGCAAGCTGCTGCTGGAAGACATTAGAAGTGTATGGGATCTGTGTCATTGCTGTGTTCTGGAAGGCACTGAAGAATGATTATGCTCATACTACTGGAACTGATCAACTTCTTCAACAAAGCACACCAGTAATGCCTTTGACAATGCAATATCTTTACTTATGATTTTTATAATGACACAGTGATAAGAACACCTGCCCATGGAAGCCAAACACCTGGATGCAAGCCCTCCACAGGCAGGGGGCTACTTCAGGGTGAAGTGACAGCAATGCATTCAGCTTGGGACAGTGACAGGGACTAAAAGAGCAGACACCACTAGTGATGGGTCACTCTGAATATAAGCATAAAAATTTAGGAAGTCAGAAGCACTGGAGAGCCTCATCCATGTCTTGACATGTTTTTGAACGGGTATAGTTTCAGCTGTTTTCCTGTGTGCTAAATTCAGTGCTGCCTGTGTGAGTGATGCATGCTCATGGCATAGCTACTGGATTAGCCTTTGATATTAAAAGCAATAGATGCTTATTTTGTGAAGCAAGAGATTAGGTGTCAAAATGTTCTTCATAGTCAAAATTATGCCAGCCCAGAAAAGCAGAGCAGCAGCATTTTGCACACCTAAAAAATGTGAGTAGGCAGAACATAAGTTGTCTCAGGATTCTCAGTCACACTAAAAGTAAACAAGGATTTTATATGGACTGCTCACCTGGATCCACAGACCTAAATACATCCCAGGTTGCAATTTTGGCACATAAACACTAGGTTGGGGTTTGCTTTTTAAAATTCTGGCTCTATATTTCTTTCTCTCTTGTAACAATCCTGACAAACAATCTATTTGTCTGTGACCTCCACCCTGGATTACTATAACTCATGATGTGGTTGAAGCTGAACATGTGGGTAAAGTACAGGCTCCAGATGTGACTGCTCATCTTTTCCAATGATTTTCATCATTACAAAATAACAGATTTGCAATTAAGGCTCTCCACAAGTTTCCAAGTAGTTTCTAAAACAGACCCAATAAAGAACTGAGACATTTTAGGTAGTTCATCCACATGATTTAATAAGTACCCTGTTTCACTGCATAGGAAGAATCAAGAGCCTTAGAATTGCAAACCAGACAATCCAGATGCTGAGAAGCCTAGGATGCATTGTTCAGAGGCATAAAAATGGACACTATCCATTCAGTTCCTTACTTGGCTGATAATTGAAGGCCTCACCACCACCCTCAAGGAAAAGAACTCTGCCATCTGTTGCAGAAGCACTGACATTCTTTTCTTGTGATTTTTCTGGTCTTAGGAATTTTTAATTCCATTCTACCCAGTGGCACAAATTCATCCAGATTTACTAGAAAGTGTGTTCTTTTTCAGGTCATAATCACAGGATAAGCTGAGTTGGAAGGGACCCACAAGGATCATCAAGTCCAACTCCTGGATCCTGTGCAGCACCATCCCCAAGAGTCACCCCATGTTCCCAAGAGCTCTGTCCAAACACTTCTTGAGCTCTGTCAGGCTGGTGCTGCGACCACTGCCCTGGGGAGCTGTTCCAGTGCCCAAGCACCCTCTGGGTGAAAAATATTTTTCTAATATCCAACCTAAACCTCCCCAATACAACTTCAAGCCATTTCCTTGGGTCCTGTCATGGGTGTGTATTTAATCTCCCCAGGCTGAGCAGCAAGCTCAGTCTCAGTTCAGTTGTTTAGTCTCACATTCAGGTTTGCATCAAAACTGGTTGGTTTTTTTTCAAGGGCTGACTTCACTTTCAATCTTTGAAAAGCTCAATATTGTTTATGTCAATTAAACATGCTTGCTCAGGGGGTCTTGGGTGGAAGAAAATTCATCAGGACCTACATGAAAACTGCATACTTAGCTCAAAATGAGCCAATTCTGTGCCTACAGAGAAAACTAAACAGGAAAATTTATTATTAAATAGGAAAATATCACAGTAAGGTTAGTCACCTTCAGGGGTAAATGGCACCTAAATTAGGGAGTCTTTAAGATGTCAATTCTGGCACCATGTTTAGGCTTAGCTACTAATTACTAGACTGAGTACAGTCTAAGTACTGCCTCACCTCTTCATTGGGTCTAATCCATTACAGAATTTTTATGTCCATGAATTGTTCAAGACCTGGTTTTATTTAAGTTCATATTTTGATATATGAGCTATAGTGGCTGCTAAATAGCAAAGCCTCAGCTGAAACATGGGAAAAAGAAGAAAGAGCTTTTTTGTGGTGATCCAACCATGCATCCAGGGCAGGTCAAGAAAATCAGGGTGTTCACACCTTCAGGAGTACTTGCATGTCTTCTTACTAGACTCTGCAGGAAAGATTTAGTATTTTGGAATGATAGGCAAAATATTTCTTGCCTCATCTGAACACATTTCTTTGTTTTTCCTTTGACTTTTACCATGAGAAGAGTGAAACAAAGTAGCTTATATTAATTCTGACTATCATTACAGCATAAACAAGATAGAGGTATTATATAAAATTTATACCTTTGTGTTGCCTGGAATGCAAATACTGACTTTCTTAAGCTATGCCAATTCTAAATGACACAACTGGCTAAAAGATTTCAGAAAAAATTCACTTTGGTATTTCAAAGGCAAACCGTGACTTAGCTGTCTGTAACTCAGCAGACTTGAGCTCCAGACAAAAAATTTTTCAGCCTTTTCTTTTTTTATCTGTTATCTTTCACTTTCTTTCATTTTACCTTTTGACAAGATTTCACATTTTTGAGAAAAATTGAGAATATGGATGAAGACCACAGTCCAGAGTTTTAGATTTTCATGTCAACAGGCCATGTTCAGAAAAAATACAGATCAAGGTTAAGTACACAGAAAGGTACAGACAGATCCCACACAAACAACCAGTAAGAGTACTGAAGTTTCAGGCTGAAAAACATGACAGCATTTTCATGGCACACTTGAACATTTATAAATAAGATAAGGCTCTTTGAATTTGTCCATTTGTTCTTTATTGATCTAAAAACGACAGTGCAGTTCATTGGCATCTTGTTGAACTAAGGCATTTAAAAGAACAGTATCATTATCAGTAGAACACAAAAAAAACCTTAAGTGGTCTCCTTTGTGTTAGCTAGTCCAGCAAAATACTATTAACCTAAAAAACCTGTGACTTCTGAATGAGAATATCAATTCATAGCCTACAGAATGAAAAATCTAATTGTTTGATGAAACCTTGGATGACAATGTAGCCTCTTCTACACCACTGGACCTGAATGATGCTGAAAACCTTGCCAATTTTTATTTGTTTCATATAACTGGGTTTTAACAATTTTACCAAAAAAAGGCAACTACAACAAATTTAACATATGTAACAAATAAGGAAATTTGCAAGAGAATTTGAAGGATCTGGCAGAGTGCCATTCACCACAAGGTCTTGGAACAAGATAAAATCATGCATAATTTAACAGATGTTAAATAAAATTTAAAAGAAGTTCTATTGCTAAAAAATTCTTATGGTAAATTCAGATTTGGCTCTGTGTTCATAACACAGTGACTTGACAAGTGAAAAGCGAGAATTCAGATAAATAAAATACATAATAGAATGGCCACACACAGTGTGAGATCCCATAAACTACTGAAAATATTTGTACTGTTCTGAAAGACATCTTGATTAAAATTTAACTATGTACTCACTGCTTCTACCTGGTTTTCCTGAAAAGAAGTAAAAATTCAATTTTAATCATGGTAAAATGTCCTAGTGTTTGTACATTTTTCTCATCTGTAGAAGTACCAAGTACAGGGTTCTTACTACAGTCATTTATTTCTTACTTACAAATCAGATAATTCCTGACAAGACAGTACAGTACAATAACTCCTCCCATGAAAAAAAAAAATACATAATTAGTTCTATTTTGCTTCTTTGACACAATGGTTTTCTTGTTTCTTTTCCTGATGCAAATGGCCTTGGTCAAGATAAATGGAAAATGTAATCAAGCTGCAAAAAGAAAACTCTGTTTAATTGGTAGTTCGAGTACTGAAGGAAGCTTGTGCAACCTTCGAGTTTGTTTTCTTGTTCAAAGCTGTGCAGATGAAGTTTCCAGCTTCCATCACGGCACAAAGATTTACTCCCTAAAAAAGAGGTGAAAAATGTTAAGAATAATAAATGCACATGTTGAAAATGCTTAGACTCCAAGATTTTTGCTCCAGGGTCTAATTTTTGCAAACAAAGGGCCTGATTCATGTTATAGGTCAGTAATGGGGATCAGTACAGCTACAGTGATTTATGGATAGTTACAGCTTCTAGTTGTTCAAAAGGTTCTGCTACTTTGAGAGTGATTTCTTGTCCCATCAGCAGTGGACCAAATACTGGAGTAATACCTTTCAACCCCAAAAGAATCTGGAATAAAGAACTGGAATTAGAACTAGAAGTTAGAAGAAAAATATAGTGTCTAAATATGTGCTACACTTATTTTATCATCCAACACTATAAAGCTTCATGCTTGCAAGTGCCCCACTAGCAGCTCAGGAAAATGGAGGAAAGACACTGGTATTGGCAACTGAATCCAGGAGAAATGGGCTCCTGGATTCTCTTGAATTACTATAATCTCCTTCTTGAAGGAGTCCATTTCAAAATCAAATTACAATTTATCTTCATAGCATAGATGAGAAAAAGCTCAAAACTGCTTCATCTGCCCATGCTAAAAAACATGTCCTTTGAGCTACTGTTTTTAACTGTGATACATATCAGCACTTCTTGATTGCTAAAATTAAATCAGATCATTGATTAAAGATGCAAAACCACTTCATTATAAGTTTCCTTTATTATTCATGTATAGTAGAAGTTTTAAAGTTAGATCATCTAAGTGATATAAGTACTTGCTCCAAAGATTGCAATTTGAAGCCAGAGAAAAGTTCCTGTACAAAAGATGAAAAAGGAGACTTTGAACTACCAATACACCAAGCAGTCGTTCAAAACTGGGAGAATGTCACTCCATTAAAGAGTACAAAGTGTATTGCACCAGAAATTACACTTTCATCACACTTCCAAATTGATGCACTAATATTCAGACCGAAACCTGACTTAAATACTTAATCCTTTAATTGGATCAAGTTCCAGGTTCTGTGGTAAACTTAGCCTTTTTCATTCTTGAAATAGGCTAAAAATGTTAATGAGAATAGAAGGGACTTAGCAGAAATGTAATCAAAAACATTTTTAATTTGAAAAAAAATGCTACCACCATCTAAACCATATAGTTCAAAGACATTCTTTTCTTACAATCTCATTTTAATACAGTTATAACGAGGTTAATTTCAGCTTACTTCGTTTATCCTTTATGGATCATTACTTAGATTTACTTTGTAAAGTGCTATCGTACATAACATAATCTAAAAAAATTTAATCAATCAGTGCTTTTTAACAAGGAAGAAATGAGCAACATACCACCATAGACATACTTGGTAGTTAGATTATGGAAGATGTCAAAATAAACTCCCCAAACTACACAATAGTCATGTTTCCATCACTCTAGCACTGCATAATGTGATATGTGTTAGTAAGAAACATACCTTCACAGTTCACATTCATTAAATGGAATACATGAAAATCTTCTTTTTATACTGTCTTCCTTAACATAAGTACTGTGAACCAGAGGGGACGACCATGAGGGCACAAAACCCAGCATTCATTAGCATGACTTAGAGATGGGAATGGGATAGGAATAGGTGTTTGTAAGGTTGTCAACAAAATAATGTGTCTGCAGATAGATACCCAGAATGTACTTACTAAGTATACTGGGTAATCACTCCATATATCCAGAATTACTCCTTCACACCAAGGAATTAATATCCCCCGAGAAAACCTAAAGAAAAGTGCCTCTAATATTATCTACAAACTGCCTTAAATCGCAAAAGCTTCTACCAGAAGGCAAAATCCTTTAATTCTCATTGAATTCAAAATTATTTCATATTTAGTCAGCCAAAGATTAATTTCACGTGTCACTTCTTGTTTATGTGTTCTGAAGAACAGTACAGAAAAAGCATCATTTATTATTTTGGTGTATCTAGTCAATCTGAAGTCAATAATTCACAGATATCACAGAATACTCTGAGTTGGAAGGGACCCACAAGGACCATCAAGTCCAATTTTTAAGTGAATGGCCCATATGGGGATCAAACCTGTGACCCTGGAGTTATCAGCACCATGCTCTGACCAATTGAGCTAAAATAATGTATGGTTAAATACTGTCCAATATTGCCTGATGTGAAAACTTTAGTGTATAGTTGAGATTAACATAAGAAAGTGCTCCTTGCAAATAGACAACATTAGCAATTATGACTTCATTTTGTGCAATTACACAAAAAGGAACACATTAACAGTTTTCTTCAATAATGATTGTACAGAATTGGCAATGGTACCAAAAACAACCAACATTATAAAGACAAAAGATCATATATTATGGTAATAACTTTGAGGGTCCAGGGCTCTCATCCAGTAAAATACTCTTTATTTATTGAGCCAGAAAGCATTCACAAAGCAAAGCCTTGTGGTTTGCAATTGCATAATCTAAAATATAAAATAAAACAAAACCTAAATAAAACCACCACCAAACCAAATGAAGAACTAAGCATTTGAGGGTGAGATTGCCTCCATGAGATTTGGTATCACCCTTTGGGACAAGCTGGACTCTTGCTTGGCCACCAGATTTTTAACAGATTAATCAATCTTATCAAGAAGCCTGAGGCATGGTATATTTCATATAATCAGACTAATTTTGCTTAATTACTTCCTTTTGCTATGAGTCAATTAGAAAGTTCAATGAATATTTTGCCCAAGGAAAGACTATACTGAAAGCCTAAGATGCAGAGCAATGTAAAGTGAAATGCATGATTTCTCCTCCTTATTTCAAAGAATTGTGTTGTTTCAAAAGAATAAACATCTTCATGAAGAAAAGCTACCCCAAAGTGTACACAAATGGTTCAAACCAGACTCCACTTGTACAGTGGACACCTGTGATTGAACATTTTCTAAACATGTCTGACATGTATGCTGAACTCCCTAAAAAGCAAATGAGAGCAGATAAATGCTTACAGTAAACTCTGTAAGGCGCTGAATATGCTTTAACAGTGCCCAGGGAATGTGTAATTCAGAAAGAAGTTCTGTAATCCTTTCATTTCAAGGAACTCCACTGGCATGTACACCACACAGAACTGCAGCCTACAAACAAGTCATGTGTTCCAATGAGATCCTCAATAATTGAAATCTTCCTATTTCGGATGTCAGGCATTTAGATTTCTTTCTGCAGTAGTTTAAATGCAAATCACACACTTTATAGTTTTGGTAGTTCTTAATATGTTCTCCTTTGAACCTGACTCTCCAAGTCTATGTGTAAATTAAACTAAAGATACTGCAGTGCCCAATTTAGCACAAATTCATTATGTCACACAGCCAGAAAAATGGGGACCAACAGGAAGACCAAGGACCACATTTATTGAAGAAGGCAGTAACTGAGTCCTAGGAATACAGAATAATTAATATGCAAACCAAGCCAGGGGTACTAAAAGTGTGCTCTTGAGGTGTGGATGCTCACTGGTAAGGTTCATTAAAGTGCAGCTCAGTGCATAAAAGCTGCTCTGCCCTCTCCTCCAAGAACAGAACTGGTAATAAAAATGACTGTGAAGCCTCCTAGCCAGTTACAGGTTCTGTACAATTTTGAAATATATTAAGTGGCTACCTGAGAAATAATAATGTCCTATGCTTGGGTTCCAAACACCACATTTTTTTTCAACTTTTAAGTCAGAAAAAAATGATAATAAATTAATAAGCACTATGAGCCAAATCCAAAACCGTGACAAAAGCTGAGATCTGCTCAATCTTTCCACTGTTGAGATAATCAACCTCCTGGATATCCAATCCAATATCTATGGTACTGAATTTTTTGTGGCTACTGAGACAGAGCAATGACACAAAACAGCTGCTACTCAGTTCCTCATAGCTCCAGGTAGGAAGAAGTGAATTTTTCAAATTACGTTAAATACACAAGCCATTTCTAGTCTAAAATGCCAATGAAGACATCATCATTCCTGTTATATGTCAAGCCATATTAAAGCATTTCATTTACAAAAACTGGGCCCTGAATATTTTATTGAACAGTACAAGTTATTGTGAGGTATGTATCATATATTTCCTAGAAAAATATATTTTTGTCCTTTAGGTCTTAAGTAGAAAGTAAAAATATCTTACGGTGCTGATCCCCAGACCATTCAGCATGTATATCACATCCTCTGTGGCTACATTTCCAGTAGCACCTTTTGCATAGGGACAACCACCAAGTCCTGCAACAGATGAATCCACTACAGAAACTCCCATCTGGAAAATAACAGCACAAAAATGAAGCATCAGCACAGAGTATCATTTATAAATTTTCATAAATGGCAGGCCATATATATTAGTTACCATGCATAAAATACACATTTGTCCACAAATGGATGTGTTCCTTGGAGGAAATTCCTCATAATGGCTTTAGTCCTGACGTCTTTATAAGGTAAGACTTTTCAAACACAGGATATGGAAGAAAGAACTAATAGTCCACTACATGTGATTTTGGCAGATAAGATGATTGCTGTTTTATAGACAGAGGTATAAGTCTTTTCTCTCTTTTTCTTTCAACTTGGTATTTTTAAATAACCTGCATCTAGTATGAAAGATTTTCATGCAAAAGAAACCAATCAATAGAAGTTCACTATAGATATACATATATTCTAAGGTTGGAATATTTTTAAGAGAATACTTGGTGCACATTTAAACTGGACCTAAATTACGACTTGAAAAAACACTCAACTGTGGTAAATTCATGTTTGCTTTTTATTTTATTCCTGCTTTATTCAAATGTCTTCTCTCTTCTGATCCAGTCAGCAAATTCATGATAAAAAGTAGTGAACCCAGTTACCAACTCCACCCAGGATATAATATTATATTTCCTATGTGATAAAGTCTTCCCTAGAAGACTGATAAGGGAAGGGACAAAAAACTGAACCAGTGACTTCCACTGATATATTTAGTGAGCTTTGCACCCTCTTCTTTCTATGATTTGATTTTAAAATAAAGCTGAAACTGGAAAGCAATCTTTTTCTGTTACAACGTTAGGCATGTGATCCAGGACACTAGATCTCACACCTTGTCAGAGAAGGCTCTTCAGCCTTCCCCTTTCCTCTGGAGACATTCAGGCTCTACAGATAATCAGAAGCAGGCTAGGGAATTAGGCACAACAATTATTAGGTCTTCAAAGATACAAGCTCCTCTCTGCCTTAAATGCACTAGACGGTTCTCTTCCCCATAGGAATAATTTAGACAGGCATACACCAAAACTGTAAGACAGGTCAGGCAGATTGAAATTCAGGACAGGAGTTCCTGTGCAGAGATAAATTTTCAAAACCCCGACTTTGGGTATGGAGAGATTAAGAGGTTAAACCACGCCTGTTACCTGCATACGCAAGTCAGGAAGTTTGGTTTAGAGTCCTGACTGCACAGATCTCTCTTCTGAGGAATCTACTTGTCCCTGCAGGTTGCTCTGGGAGCCTAGGCATCTCCTTCTCCTTCTTTCCTAGACATGCACACAGCTAGCTGGCAAGGTAGGCAAATGATACATCCTGCATGTTGCAGTTGGCTAAGTCCCCTTTCCAAATATACCTATTAGTTGTTTTTTTTAGTTCTGAAATAAACTACCCTAATGTGAGGGTTTTTTTGTATTTGCTTCTAGTTTTAATAGTGCATTTCATAGTATTATCATTGGCCCTACAGGGTCTTTGAACTTCCAGCATCTCTGCAGAGCAATAATAAAGAATGAAGTGTTGTCCCAGATCCTATTTTTGGACAGAGAATATTATCTTGATCAAGGTAGCTGCTCAAAGCCTGTAATAAAGACCTCAAAGGAGTCAAGATTCAGAACTGTGACAGACAAGAGAGTGCTATTTAATATTGCTCACACAATGAGAGTCTCTAAAAAGAGATCGTGTACTTAAAGCACACTAATCTGTGACTTACAGAGTGAATCACCAAAGTGCACATTTCATATTTCAGCCACTTGTCACACTCTTTGTGTAATCCACCAGTCACAAAATGTGTTATATGACACATCTATGTCCAGTACACAGAAGATATGCATTCATGATAAATTCTGTCTCTTTTGCCCTAGGTGCTAAGATTCATACATTTACTCTAGAAGACAGTGCTCCAAGCTCCACAGTGGCAGCTTTCATCTTGAGAGTGTCCCTGCAGAGACATACATAAGGCTTCTTATTGGAAAGATTCAGGGTGTGGTGAAGTCCTGCAGAAAAAGGTGTCTAATGTGGATGTATAGGTTGATACAAGTATGATCCCACTACTCTGCCTGCTCTCTCAGTCTGATTTTAAGATTTCCATCAGAAATTGTTTCAGAGATGAAAAGATAAAAGAAAGTGTCTTTCATGGAGGTTTTCCCAATCTGTAAGATTATGTCATAACTGCTAGAGCATTCTTCTTCATGTACTCATTTTCAGTAACTTTCACATGGGGATAAAACTATAGGCAAATAATGTGGTGAGGTACATCATGGCTGTAAAATTCCCAAGGAATATCAGCAGACTCAGAAACACCTTCAGTAGCCTATAAACAGTCACTTTCTAATCCCAGAAAATTATCTCAATAAACTCTTGTCCTTTTGCACAAATGTGAAAAAGTATCAACTAAATAGTATTTGGTAAAAAACAGCCAAAAAAGTCAGTAACCTGCTCCAGTCCTTCACAGGGCACTCACTGTAAGCAAAATCAAGAATCATATCTTCCAGCATTAAAAGGGCATATTTTCTAAAGGCATTGAATATATATACATATTAATTCTTGATATCCTTGTACAAACACTAGTAATGCCACCGTAGTTCTGAATTTGCAGTGCAAATCTAGCAGCAGGGGGGTACAGGTTGCTTATAATTGTTTGCTGAAAGTGTTGGTGACTCTATGGGTGGATACAAGATATCACAGCCACTTGAAGGTAACATTAAACACCTTTGTCTAACCACACCCTGCTATTTTCAGGCAGCCTTATCTGAGTTATTCAAAGTATCCTCACTGGAAGCTGAAGTAAGCTCAGATAATTTATCTCATAGTAGATGCAAAAGCATATAAAACCCTGATGCCTTCTGCTGGTTAAGAAGTGGGAGTAGTAATGTCCACATGATGGACAGTGATAACTGCTCTGTCTTTTAAATCAATGACTGTTTTGGCTAAATATAAAAAAAAAAGAGAAGGTCTAATAGCACCTTTACATTAGTAGCATCCTTGGAGGGATGGCTTTAACCTTAGTACAGCACACTTAATCCATTACTTCCCAGAAACCATGTATAAACATGAAGTCTCTAAAATTGTATCTCTATCAGGATGTATTTGCTATTTGAACATTAAGCCAGTGATAGACAAGGTCCAAACATGACATATATAATACAGCCACCCTGACTGACCTCCAAATCTGACAGTTCTTCAAATCAGTGGTGATAATATGCAGTGAGCAGGTGTCTCTCCTTTAAGATAATGTCTTAAAAGTTCTCTTGACAATGCTTTTCATAGGATATCTACTGCAATATACTAATATTTCAGCAACAGGGTCAGCTGCATCTGTCTGCTCTTGCATGTGGTACAGACAGTTATAATGTGTTTGCTGACTCAAGTGCAGAATCACCCCAGTTCATCTTCAGTGTGGCCCCATTAAAAAAAAAATCCTTAAATAATCCATTCTCTAAGCTCCAATCTAGCAGTGCTAAAAACAGATGTTGGAAAACATCCCTCAGCAGTGCTACTAACTAACTAATTTGGAGGCTGATATTGCAGCCCAGCCTGTCCAAGCACAGAGTCTGAAATAGCACCTAATAAATAACTCCTCTGCACATTTGAGCAGCTATGAAACTGTTTTGCTTTTGCAGCCATTAAAAGCACAAGGAGCTCTAAAGCAAAACCTAAAAATTGACAAAATATGTAAAACAAGGTATTTTCCTTCATCACATCTTCCATATTTGTCAGACTATTACAGGAGATAATGAGTTTCAATCCTTTTTGCAAACCAAGCTTGCAAAAAATTCACTGTCAATATGACGTTTAAGAAGTCCACAGTCTCACTGTCACTTCCTGACAGGCACCAAATGGTGCTGACATTCATGAGAAGTTGTACTGCAGCTATTTCATAGGATATGTCCTAGATGAGCACTCACGGAGCTGCTTACATATGGACATGTGTGGGGGTGAACAATGGCTTGGCTTCCAGGACAACTACAGTACTTCAATATTTTTTGATAATCACAAAATTCCTGACAGTGGTTCCTGAACACCTTCCAAACATTAGCTTTGGCTAGCTTTAGCTTACTCTCTGGAGAAGGCAGAGGACTTTTTGCTCCTGTCCCATGCTAACTTCCTAATTCCCCAATGAGAAACCAAGGAATTAAATTCATCACCTTTGTCAAACAGCCAATTTTAACAGGAAACCATTATTGCCAGTGAATAATAAATGCTTCATGTTTCTCAGTTTGCTTTACTAGCTCCCCATAACTTCTTGTTGGGACAGTCAGTCTCCTTCCTTACTGATCTTTAAACCTGGTTTGTCTGGCAGAAGTTTAACTTTGTTTCTCTCTTAAAAATGGCAAGGTCAGCATCAGTAACTCCAGGAAAGTACGTGATATAAATCAGAAGCTATAAATCAGGTCTTTCATAGATTAGACTTCTTCTAAACGATGAGATTTTGAAAGCGTAATACCAAGGATACAAGGCATGCATTAAACAGGAAAAGATTTGTGCCACAAAGTCAAGAGGCCACAGCACTGTGGCCAGTGTCTTAAAGACAGATGCATGTAGATATGGCAAAGAATGGCTGAATTAGTTCAGCTTTTGTCCAATGAAGGGGGAAGGCAGGGAGGAAGAAGCAAGATGTGTCAGGTCAAAGGCTGCCCACACAAAAGGCAGTACAAGACTATTTAATCCTGCAGCCCAGTCGGTGCCTAGCTGGCACTCTTGGAATGGTGTGGTTCTGCCATATTACTGTGTACCCCTGGCATCAGTCAGCTGCTGTACCCATTATTATATGGCATGCCAGTGGCAGAAACCTCCTCTCCTGCAGAGAGACAGAGAGGTCACCACAGAAACAGAAATAACTATGCCAGCAACGCTTTGTAAGGTACAGTGGCTACAAAAACCCTTTCCTAATTTACATTGCCAAGCTGTCTAAAATCAAAGCTTGCTATTCTCCCATATTTCAACAAAATAAATGTATGCAAATAAATATTATTTTTGTATTTACGAAATTAAAGCATACTTTTCTACGAATAGGCAATAAAATGGGATAACGTCTCT